ACAGAGGTCAGGTTTCCACTGACCGACCTTATCTCGGTCGTCCATTACAACACGAACCTCCGATACTTCTATAAACAACTGCTGGTGGCTCTGCTGTCAAGGGACTTTGAGCCTTATGGGACTTTAGGTCTATGTCATCCTTCATCTGTGGCCCACAATGTATATGCACTCAACGCAGCAATTATAACCTCAAAAAAAATCATGCGAGACTCCCCTGTTAAATCGTAACATATTTAAATAAGCTGAGACAAATAATGCTTTTATTTTTTGTTATAAAACTATATTTTATTTCAACTTGTATATGGTTTAGGAAACACTGAAAGTCTGTTCACTGATCCATGGCCTACAATGTTCATGCAGACTACATTTATACGACACGGTAAAACAGATGTTCATGTGGTAATGCTTCGCTGCTTTAGTAATTAAATAAAAGCGTGTTCAAGTAAGATTTTACCATCAATCTTGACAGGCAATTTTCTAGTCTACCTACTTAATAGACATGTGTTGGTTGTTGATCTTTTTTTAATCACCAACAGACTGCAGGCATCGTAAAAACACACGCGTATCTCTTCAACATATTCATCGACACTTTCCTAATTATCTTGTTACTAATCTTATTAGCAAACGCTAGCAAATTGCTATCTAATGTATTTACTTAGTTACTTACTTAATCTTTATCCTATTTTTACACGCAGGTGTCGAGGTTTTTATTTATTCATTTGATCTGTTTTGGACATTGGTAGGATTCCTTGTATGAGTGATCAGCCCATCGCAAGGCCTCTAATACCTATGCTATCTAACGTATACTTTCCACAAATTCCACCGAAATGCGTAAACATAGATTTTTGAACATTTCTTTCTTTCTTGTGTACTGATTCAACTGTTTATCGGGGGCTAACTGTTAACTGAGAAACACTGACTCAAACGGCTTTCACTTTGTGTTATTAACGGATTGATAAATCCAATGTATCGCCTACTACATATGTTGAAACGCATGAGTTGATTGGTTAGTGATCATTTTTTAAACAACTATATCCAGTTATTATAACCTCAAATACGCCTGTCGAAGAAATAGAAAGTCATATACGACTTGAAGCTTTCGCGGCGACTAAAGTCAATTAAATTTACTTGGGCAATCGGCCGTGTCAGTTTGTTACACGAAGAGACCAACGTTTAGGGAACCATCTCTGTTCTGATCCCTGACGATGGGGGAGGGGGAGGCATTTGAAGAGGCAGATTGCCCGAGAAGATTTTATTGAGATTAGAAAGTCGTGTAAGAAAAAATAACTATGCTGTAGGTTCCATGAACTGTCCAAGTGTGAACCATAGTTCGGGCACTGCTGCTAGAATTTTCATTAAAACTGTGCTTTTGAAATATTACTTCAGATTTTTCTGTTATGAATATTATTATTTTTTATTATTAGTGTTCTGTATGACGACAGGTCCATATGAACAGGATCCTTCCATCCTTTTCTCTTCTCGGACTGGGACCTGTTCATATACGTTCTTGGCAGATGATCCAGAAGTGGTTTGCCATTGCCTTCTTCTGTGTGT